ATGTTGCAAGTGTTTTATATTAATGTTGCAAAAGTAGATCGAGATGTTGCATATGTTGCGATGGCTATATACGGTGCCATAATCTTGCACTAGTTATCACTGCTTGCAGCAAGTTATCTTGGCTTCTTTGAAGCTAGTTATCTGGTGATCATCCTACGTCGTGAAGATCGGGACCCCGTGACATATCAAAAAGTAGATCTGGATGTAGGGTTGTTGAGCGAGGAAGAGAGAGCTAGCGCCGGAGCCATGGCGGTGTTGATGTGGGGAGGAGACATAGGCCTCACAGTGCTGGTGTGGAAGAGATGGGGGAGTCATCCGAGTGGCGTGGAAGAGGTGAGGGCGAAGCGGTGTTGAAGAGGCAGGCGAGGCACCGGTGTGGAAGAGGGCCGAGTCATCCGGACAGCGTGGGCATCGGAGCAGTCTGAACACCGGTGCGGGAAGCGGAGCTGACGCAGACGGCTCGTGAATCCAAGAGACTAGGGCGGAGCAGGCGCAAGCGTCTACACGTTCGGACCTTCCGGGCGCTACTCTTTGTGATACATATATTTCCTATAGTCGATTAACTTGATGGGCAAATCATAACTGTTAGTAACGCAACACAAATATCATGTAATGATGTGAAAAAAGAAAAGAAAAAAGGAGAAGTATTTTCACTATCAGCCACCATAAGTCCATGTTTTCATTAGGTCACAAAGGTTGCATGCAGCTGGTCAAGAACAGAGGGACAACTGCTTTGCAGCTCTCCGAGGACATAAGGTGCAGAGAACATCCTCGCATATCCATTTAAGCCCCTCCAGTCCATACCTCTGTGCCGCCACGAGCAGACGCCGAGCCATCACTGTCTCGTCGCCGGCGTCGATCTCAGGCAACGAGTCGGTATAGATGAAGTGGAGCAGAGCCCTGAACACGCTCGGCTCAATGTCATGGATCCTGACGTGCCTCGTCGTTACTGACGCATCCTCCTTTTCTGGCGGTCCGCCGAACAGCTCCGCCTGGAACACCGCCGACCGCGCGGCGAGCACGCTCGAGTGCGCGGCAAACGCCTCCCCACCCACCTCGAGGGTCACGTCCGCCCCAACCCCGCTGGCGAGGAGTTCCCCAAGATGCCGGCGCAGGTCCGGCGGCGCCATTACTCCGGACAGTCTGCACGTCCTTCTGACCAGCGTGACATCGCATCTCACGCTGAATCTATTGTCTTTCAGATAGTAGGACTCGAATCTCTTCCTTTTCATGAACTGCGTGTAGCGCATGGATTTTATGGTTGACAAGGCACGTTCAGTTTCTTTCCTTAACGAAGACGGCACTGGCTGCCCGGCCTGGTCAACCAAGCTGTACATGGTTCGGACCATGGCATCATCGAGATCTGTGCCACCGGCGACGGGCGGTTCTTCAAGACAGAGCCAGAAGCGTATCCAATCCTCATGGTCATGGGAGTACGTGATGCGCCAGGAGCACCCTCCGGCGGTGAATTTATTTGACGGGAGGGCCCAACCGGCGGCGTCGAGTTCCTTGTCACCGGAGTAGTCCGCGACCGTGAGCACGTATGAACCAGTCGCCGTCTCGGCCGACAGGGTCGACGAGCTGCCGTAGGTGTCAGCGTCGGCGGTGGACACCGGCCGATGCCAGGAGGTCGACGTTCCGGCGTGCCCGACGGGTTGCCGCTGGCCGGCCATGTGGTATACGCCGAAGGTGTACTGCAGCGATACGAACGGATCACAGTACGAGTCTAGACAGCCGGAAGGGCAGGCAATTTATGTACATATATGGATTGCACAGAGTCTGCGAGTCGTATTCGTATTCCTCAACCTGATTGGAGTTTGGACATCAAGTAGGATTCCAGTTGTGGTCGTAGTTGAATATAATTGTGTTTTTCTTTTCGGAGCTCCTGGCGCCCAGACGTCCATTCTGGGACGCTAGCATCGGACAGCTGTCCGGCGTGTAAGAAGCAACGGAGCTTTCGAGCAGCCCGCCCCCGTCAATCGCCCACGCAGCCCGCCCACGTCCGTTGCCCCGCCCTGCACGCACACCCTGCTCCATCCGAGCACCCATCACTCACCGCGCCCTGTGACTTTTCGAACAACATCAAACACTTGCAACATGAAACATTTAAACGCAACATACGTCTGAAATAAATAAAACATCTGATATATACAATTGCAACATATACAACATTCAGATATTTCCTCATATGATCTCGACATATACATATATGCTCACACAATCAACGCTGACTCAGAGTACTGCTTTGGGTAATTGGTTGTTGAGGCTAGCGGAGATGGCTAGCACTTAGGAATAGAAGTAGATTGGAATTGTAACTACTGGTGAGCAAACAATAGGGTCAGTATATATCAGTAGATTGGAGCTGAAACTACTGATGATGAGCAAACAAGAGGATAAGTATAGATTTTAGGGAGAGATCAACTGAGGCGAAATTAAAGATTACGTGGACACTAATGCTTAACATTGGACCGTCGCAATGCACGGCCATATTTACTGGTAAATATAGAAATGGTAAGTTGTCCCGGCAAAACACGGCCGTGTATGCATGCCAAGAATATGACGGGATGTGTCCTATTCGGCAGAGGAATACGAACACGACCCGCACATCCGTATATAAATAAAAACGTTGCCGGGCCCTCCGTGGCTTTCAATTTGTGCATCGCATGCAGTAGTATATATGTACTGCACCTATAAACGTAAGTGGCCAGGACAACATCGTACCAAGCTCCAGCCACAATGTCGAGGTCTCGTCGTCGTACCAAGCTCCGCAACGACGACGACGAGGACGGTAGCGCGTCGTCGCGACCATGCTCACCGAGACAGCGACCGGGTGGCACGTGCTCAAGGTCGAGGGCTACTCCGAAATCAATGGTCTCGGCGTCGCCAGGCGCCTGAAATCATGTCCGTTCGTCGTCGGAGGGCACACCTGGTGCATCGCATACTTCCCCGACGGTCTCACCGAGGACACCGCCGACTGCATCTCTTTCGCCCTACGTCTTGAAGATCGTTGTGCCCGGACCGGGAGAGAGGCCGTCATGGTACGGACTACGTTCAGCCTGCTCGACGTGGCCGGAGGTCCGGTGCCATCTTTCACCGTACTATGTGGTGTATGGACCTTCTCGAGAATAGGCCAGTCATGTTGCCACGCACGGTTCATGGAGAGGAAGGAATTCGAGTCGTCCTACGTCAAAGACGATGAGTTCTGCATAAGGTGCGACGTGACAGTCCTGTCGGCAGGTGCGCGGCCGCCGCCGGACCTGCGCAGGCAACTCGGCGACCTCCTCGCCAGCGGGGACGGGGCGGACGTGACGCTGGAGGTAGGCGGCGAATCGTTCCGCGCGCACAAGAACGTGCTCGCCGCGCGGTCGCCGGTGTTCAAGGCCGAGTTCTTCGGCGGACAACACAGGGAGAAGGTCGCGGCGAGTGTAAGCATCCATGGCATCGAACCGAGGGTGTTCAGCGCCATGCTCCACTTCATCTACACCGACTCGTTGCCGGACATCGACGACGGCGACAGGACGGCGATGGCTCAGCATCTGCTCGTGGCCGCTGACCGGTACGGCATCGTGAGGCTAAAATCGATCTGCGAGTATGTTCTCTGCAGCTTTGTCCACGCGAGTGCAGTGGTGACTACGCTCGTGCTCGCGGAGCAGCACGGTTGCCATCAGCTCAAGGAGGCGTGCTTCAAGGTCCTCAAGTCCTCGGCCAATTACAAGCAGCTTGTGGTAGGGGAAGACTTTCAATATCTGGCAAGCACTTGCCCCTCTCTTCTCCAAGAGCTGCGTGGACTTGAAGCAGCATGATTGTTAGGACTTGATGAGTACCTTAGCAACATTGTTTAGAAGCCTAAATATTCAACTCACAAGGATGTATCGTTTTGTTTTTTAAACAATTCCCAACATGCATCTGTTGTTTGGTACTTTAGACAATTTCATTTGGTATAAGATTCCTACATGCATGTATCGTTTGGTTTTTTAAACAATTCTCTGTGTGTCACTCGGTAACTAGCGGTGCCAACCTAGAAGGTAACACCTGCTTAACGGAAGTGGTAACAGGGAAAGAAAAATTCAAAAACTAGTATAGAAGTTGCAATGAACTTTTAGGTAGTACATATGGGTCGATCTTCTTTTTCAGGGCCACACAGGGATTTGTCTCTTTAACCGTCTTCCTCGACGTCGCTGCAGCTTACGGGAGCAATCATGTAGGCTGTTAGCAGCCGATCAAGTGACGATATCAAAATGTAAATCAAAACTGTAGTATCAGGGTTGACTTGTTGTTTAGGCTGCGACTAGAACTGCTCGTAAAATCTCTTTTATTCGTGAACGGAAAAATTGGGTGCAGTCTGGCTGCACTCGCTTGGGTGTGCAGACCCTGCTTGATCTGGTGAATCGTGACACGTTTGCAAATAATTTGTCTAGTAGTGTGTAATGTAGAGCCTATCGTGTCACTTTCGTAGGAGGCCCGGCCAACTGGGAGATGGCAATTTGGCAACGACATGCAAATTGGAGTATCGGGACCAGTGATAGAAAATATTTGGCATACATAAGCCATGGTAAACATGTCCAAGACCTCATCTCCGGAGGTAAATTGTGTTGTATTTAACCGCCTTTAGTAATAGAGGCTATTTTCAAAGGCGGCTGTATTCAGCTGGTAAGACAAGTTATGCCCCCTGGAAGGGTCTCTATATGCAGTTCTTTTTCCGGCGACTAAAAAATGGTGACACATCTGGAAATAATTTGTGTAGTAGCTTGCAGAGCCTATGGTGTCAGTTTCCCACACAGGATCCCCATTGGGTGGTGGCACTTTGGGTAACGACATGCAAATTGGAATATCTGGAGCAGTGATTGAAAATATTAGACACAAGCCATGGTACACAAGTCCTAGACCTCTGTCTATTTTCTTACACGATAAGTAGACGGCTACAGGGTGGTTTCAGTTTCAGCAAGCCAAGAATGTACGTTATTGAATTGAACAGAAGCGCTGCGACAGCAACCCTCCTCCTAAGCTGCTCTAGGCTTGCGACAGGTGATGATGGTGAATTTGATGAGCCCCTTCCTGTAGCCTTGGATCAGCAGCAGTATCCCCATCGCCCCTCTGATTGTCTTCCATCCTTCAGACAGAAGCAAAAACGAATGCCAACAAAGTAATTCACATCCCAATACACTCAAGATTTTTGGTGCAGTCCATGTTCAGCAAACAGAGCTATTGAAGATGAGAGGAGTAAGTTGCATATATATACCACATGTTAACGCAGAGGTCAGGCCCTTCCATGACAGTGATAGTTTTATCACAGCGGGCCAAAACGGGGCCACGTTCTCCGACCAGTCAGCTGTCCTGATATCCTGACACAACATGCAACAACAAAAAAGATTTCTTTCTATGAAATCACATCATGCAAAGAAATTTCCAAATTGGCGTGGTTCCCTAGTAGTAGGTACATCAAGAATTTGATCTTATTATCTTCAAGATATTGATCGAGACAGATTTGCATGCATCGTAAATATAGCACGGTCTTTCAAATTCATTCAGAATTTTTCAGAACAGAAACAGCTTTTTATTTTAATTACCTCGAGAGACAGTGACTTGGCAATGTTGACATAGTCTGCAGGTGAACACCAATCCGCGAGGCAGTATGCATTGCATATCCTCTTCAGGAGGCTCAGTTCATCCGGTTTCAGGGAGTTTTCAGACGGCTCGAGGTTCCTATGGCAGCATGTCACGATGATTATTGTCCCTCCGGGAGCCGCCACGCGCGCTAGCTCACTAACAAACTAATACACGAGTAAGGTACGAGTTCAAACATTATGCAGTTAACGCACTAACAAAGTAATACATGATCATGGTAAGAGTTCAAACAATATGCTGTTTCGCTGCGATGAGTAAGGAAATTTTGGGCGCATTTTCTGGAATGGTAAGAGTTCAAGGCAAACACATAACTTGTTAAGTCAACGTGTGTGTAGAGAAAAGAATTTAACTATATATGTTGGTGTTGGAAATCATATTTGGTTGTTGTCGCCTTCTGCACTGCCAAAGACATGGGCCGGCCAAATCTTGGCGCCGATTTGGCTGCCCGGGAAATGGCCAGCGCATGGCCGAAAAATGAGCTACGCATGGGCAAGCTGGCGTGCCAAAGCACGCCTCTACTAGGTCTTGAGAATTGATGGCGCAGCAGCGGTTTTCGGCAGGACGACTCGTGCTATTATGAAATTTTACAACACGGATCTCCAAATTTTCTGTTCCAAGCCCACTAGTACAAAATCGTTTTTTGCTGACGCTTGCGACTTTTTCACTTACGGTTTATAATGTATTGGCGCCAACAGAAATAAATTTGTGGGCCCATAGCTATGGACTGAAAGTGTGAATTCATTTTTAGTGGCTGTTTCCTTAGGCCTACCATCTGTACAAATACGATTTCTACTGACGGTAGACATAAGGAAAAAGCCAGTGAAAATATATTTATCATCACAACTTTCTTAACCTAGCGCCACAACAACTAATTTAAAATTGGTTTTCTAAAATTATTGAAATGGTATCGGATGGAAAATGGTCCGTAAGTATTTAAAAAACTTTCTTGTTGACTACTTTTCATTTAAAATCATTTAGGACTTGAAAATTATGTTTTAAGATTAATTATTTTTAAATTTCTGAAATGACCTTGGATGGAAAAATGATCAAAAGCAAAGATGTAGATGTGGACTAGATCTGAAACTTTGTAGTTCAAACTTTTCATTTGAATCCGTTTAGGGTTTCAAATATAATGTCCAATTTAAAATCTAGCGGAGAATACTAAGAGAATATTTCTGTTTGGGTAAGAGCATAATGCGTGAAGCATGAGATCGTGAAAATAAAAAATGCAAAGAACCGTGTGTGGCTGGCTAGTGTGTGCCTCTTCAGACATTTTTTTTTTTTTTGCTATTCTTTTAGGCCCGTTTTCCTATTTCTACAAAATCATTTAGACTGGCGGGTTTCTTAAGAAAACCGCTAGTATACCAATTTACAGTAGCAATTTCCTTAAGAAAATCACCAGAATAAATATTTATAGTGGCGGTTCTTTGACGACCAGCATCTGTAAAAATATAAAAAGTTCCGTAGGTAAAGATATTTTGTATACTAATGCCTTCCTTTCTTAAGATATTTTGTATACTAATGCCTTTCTTTCTTATTTTATAAGACGGAGTAAAATAGGTTACCTTCGTTTTGTCCGGCATGTGCTCACCACTCTCCATGGAGCATACAAGATCAAACATCCCATCAGGAAACGGTTGGTCTAGAGCATCAGCATCTTGGAGGGAAACCTGCATCAGCATGGTTACTATGAATGGTTGAATAATAACAGTACTTTAATCACGATTAAGGTAGCGGTAGTTTTGGACACCTTGTCTGAGAAGCACTGGGCGGCAGTGAGAGCATTCCCTCTTTCAGCTTGAACACGGCTCAACGTGATGCCCGTACACTGTGCTCCGTATTTTCTCGCCAGGTATCTTGAGCTGCCTCCAATGCCACATCCTACATCAACTATCATTTTGGGCTTCTTCTCTGGATCATCTGCACGCGAAGACAAACATGATATCCCGTCAAAGTTGTGGAACGACGGCATGTAATAGTTTACATTATGTAAAGCAAGCAATCCGTTAAAAAGGGATGAGTGTCCGATAGGTCGTATCCGTCATATTTGGTTTGAGGGACAGGGATGTCCCACGTGGGATATCCCACCATGTAGTGGTTTGGTTTAGAGGCAAGTTGGAGACTGGCCCATCCCACTATAAAATATTCCTTCTAGATGTCGTGACTCCCGTCCCTTCTTTTTTGGTGGATAGAGTTGTCCCATCTGGGACGAGTCTTCGCGGGTGCACGATAGATGAGAACGACGAGCGGGGCCACTTGCGTGGGCGGGATGGAGAGCGGTGGCGCAGGATGGGACGGGCAGCCAAGCATGCGAGCTCCGCCGCCAGCCCTGCCACGTGTGGCCATGCAAAGGAGAGGAGCACGCGAAGCAGAGGTGAGCTCTGGCAGCGGGCGGGTAGCACAAGCGAGGCGAGCTCTGTCACCGGGCATGCCACGGGGCGAGTTTCGGTGCGGGGGGAGCCGTGGTAAGGACGGGCGGGGGTGGCGAGATTTGGAGGGCGGACATGGGTGGGGGATGTGAGCCCCACCGGGCGGGCGCGGGTAGGGGATACGAGCTCCGGTGAGCGTGGGACGTGACATCTGGCTCATAGGGCGAGCTACGAGGAGCGGTGGGCATGGGGCCGTACACCAGGAGCGGAGGGTGGGGCAGTCTGGAGGAAGAAGAAAGCCACGGGAAAGGAATAGATACTGAGAGCTAGGTCCTACGTGTCAGATGCCTCATCCCACTCTTTTATGTCCCTTAAGCAAACACAAAATGGATCGATCCCGTCGTTTGTCAGACAAATAGAAAATGGAGCCATTGTGTCCTAGAAATCAGAGACAGGGCCATCCTACTCTAGCTTGAATCCCAACCAAACGCTACCTATGGCTCCAGCCCCACTGAACTCTCAGGCCGCACAGGTGACCACTAGTATGCAAACCCATACAACCAGTTCCATTTCCGCCCCTACAGGACCATCTTCACAATTTTAAGGGCACTTGGGCCACAAAACAATAAGAGCCTAGCAATCTAATTTTTAAGGTCTATTTAGCACGACTCCGGCTCTGACTCTGGTAGCAGCTCCTGTGGAAGATTTAGGAGGAGGAGCTATTTTTATGGTCCTATCCCCACCCTAATGGGAATGTAGGGGATCAAAATGGATTGAGTGGGATTAAGTTGCAATGGATTATTTAAATCTCCCTAAATTCTCTTGGATTGGAGATGATATAATCGAAAAGCCATTAATTTTTGGGAGTGTCTCAGGCACAGTCGCCTGACACATTGCATATCCATCAGGCGATGGCAAGATCCGTTGGATCCAACGTTCAGTAGTCATCTTCAATCTCTCAACCCGCCTAGTCTTCTTCATCCTCGCCGGCGGCCGGAATCTCGTCCTCGTACTCGACCCCGCCGCCGCCCACCACCCCGCCGCAGGCGCTGGGGTTCGCCAGAGCCTGCGGTGTCCGGCTCCTTCCCCTCCCCCTCCAGCCATGGCAATCTCCGGCAGCGGCAACCTTCCTCCGACCATGGTGCCCCCTCCCCTCCCTGGCCCGGCCACCACCGCCGCCGGCGGGACCCCTAAGCCCCCCCGCCTCCTTCCCCACTGCCTGGCCAGCCTGCCTCCCCCTAGCTGGGCCCTTCTATACAAGCCCGAGTTTTGGAAGACGAGAGGGAGAGCTCGACGAAATCCTAATGAGCAGATCCAAGAGGAGGAGGAGGAGAAAGCCGCCTACCTCACCGGAGCATGGCGGAGCTGAACCTACACCGCCGCGGAGCTGGACTCACTGGATCCCCAAGCACTCTGTGGATGGGGTCATGAGGGAGGCGGTGGGCGTGGCGTGGGGAGGAGCTCGCTGGACGCTAGGGAGGATGTTTGCCAGAGAGAGAGAGGTGGGGAGATAAGTCGCGGTGTGGGAGGACGAAGGAGCGGGGTGTCGACGGGCCGTTATCGACCACTGATGTGCATTTACATTAATGTTTCAAGCAGGTTTTCAGGGAGCTTCACCCATGAAGTTGTTTTCAAATTCCTGTTGCACTCATGGATTAAGGCGCTTTGTCGGGTGCCGAATGCACCCAGCAAAACCTACTTTGCACTTTCGGCAAAGCCTTTGCCCGTGCAAGCACTTTCGCAAAGAGCCTCCGGCAAAAAATTAGTCGGCAAAGATTTCTTTTTGCGGGTGCTTTTATCGGGCACTCGGCAAAGACTTTGCCGAGTGCAAACCCCAAGACCCAAAGAAAGAAAAGTGGTCGTCTTGGCGCCGGCTCCGTCATCCTTGCTTTGCTTAGGGTGCCATGTCGAGGCACCCGGCAAAGATTTTTTAATTTTTTTTCAAATTTTCTTTGTTGGTGCCGCCGGGAGGCACCGGCAAACAATTTTTTTTTTTTTAATAATTTCTTTGCCGGGTGTCGCACCCTTGGGGCACCCGACAAAGAGTTTTTATTTTTTTCATAATTTCTTTGCGGGTGCGGATCATAGGGCACCCGCAAAAAAAAAACAGAAAAATTTTGCGGTGCCCTACAGCCACGGCACTTTCGGCAAAGCTGGGAATTCCTTTCAGAGAATTCCCGGCTTTGCCGAAGTGCTGTGGTTGTACAGGCACCCGCAAAAGCCTCAAAATTAATTTTTTTTATTTTGTTTTTTGATTCTATAATCACAAACACAGCATATAAAAGATATATATCACATCTGAAGCATCACAAAGACAATATAGCATATATATATCACATCCATCTCATCACAAACTCAATACCACACATATATATCACATCGCGAATACAATACCTCACATACACGACATCACAAACATAATAGGTCCAATTACCATCGAAACAAGTCGATAGTGGATCACAGTGCATCACATGTCCATCAAGCGGTGAAAAAGAGATACAAACTAAAGGTGGGGAGGAAACTGAGTGCCTGGTGAAGGAAACTCGGCACCGCCTGCTTGCGCCTGAGATGGGTCATTCGAACCCGCCGACGGAGGCTGCATAAAGGACAAGATATTCAGGCGGTTAGAGTGGGTCATCTAATGAAAGCACTAGTCGAAGCAATATGGATTCATACTCACTGGACTAGCTACAACTGGCGGCGGCGCTGGAGCGAACATCGGCACAGGTACACCGTTCACTTGCCCAAAGTTCTGCAGGAACATCGTAATCTCCGCCAGCTGCTTGGCCTGTCTCTCCCGCTCGGCCCGCTCGGCTTGTCTTTCCCGCTCGGCCACCTCGGTCCTCGCCGCCAGGTCCCGCAGCTCCTGAGCCATCCTTTCGTTATCGGCCTGCAACATTTCAATCGAATGTTTTAGTAATGTAAAGGTAACTAAGTTATGTAAAGATCAATGTACGAAGAGTTAAACTGGACTAACACAGAGTCGTCGACCGCTTCTTTGTGAAGGGGCGGCCGTTGGCGTATGCGCGGGCCTCCGCTCGGGTACTTGCTCGGATGCAGGAGAGGGAGGAACAGAGCGGACTCGAGGGTGCCATCGCCAAGCCAATACCGCCCATGCTTCTTGCCCCTGTCCGATCCTCATGACGGTCGTGCCATCAATGTCGTCGGTGTTTCGGATCCCGGTCGGCCCTGGACCGACCTTGCGTCCGACGCGAGGAGCTGATGCTTGGTGTGGGCGCTTCGGGTTGTTTGACGACTCGGGTGGGTCATCCGGGCTGAAGGTGACAATGAAGTCGCCTTTCCCTTGCGGGCGATCCATACGCCATGAACGTGGACAAAGGCTGGCCACCATGCGACGCCGCCATTGCGAGAAATACAACAAGATGATTAGAAGTAACATGCGAGAATGGGCGTCGAGAATACTAAAATGAATTCACGTACCCAAGCTTGCTTTATGCTGCGCCGAGGCTGCGGTTTGCCTTGGTGGTGTGTGGGGCACTGTCGCGCGCGCAAAGCCCGCTCCCGGTGGGCTTCGTGTTCTGGATATAACCCTCTGTGAACCACTGTCCACGATCATCTCCTAGCGATCGGCAAAGGACTCGCACCACTATGGAATCATCTACATGTCATAAAGAATTTGAGATGTAAGACGACCAAATGAAAGCTACTTAATCTCAAAACGAATTAGTATTATTCTTCTTCATTTACCTCAATGTCTTTGTTCACGGGTCGAGGCATCTGTCTTGCTCGTGTCTTCTTGCGACTTTTTGACCAAGTCGCGTGGCGTAGTACTTGATGATGCAAGTGAGGCGCTCCTCGTAGTGCATGTCAGCTGATGCGTTTCGACACTTTTCACCAAGTTCTTCTCCGCCCTCTCCTCCTGTCCCTCTTCACACACGAAAAAGTCTGTGAGACAGACACAATGTATCAATTCATTATGTCAAAAAGTGCCAAATGAATGCGATGTATTGATCAAAGTTGTCTTGAACGAGACTTACCAGAACTCTCTCGACCCGCTCTGCTTGTCTTCATAATCTGCGTCGGGGCAGATTTGTAGTGGTCCCACGATTTGGCCGGCCCCCACAGTCCCCTTGTGTGTGACAATGCAGGGGGTAATAGTGCCCGCACGAAGCCCCAAGATGTGGTTGGGGTTGCGTGAGTCACCAGCGACACAACCTCCCAATTGCTGCACAAGTCATTAACAAACATTATTAGTTTCTCTCACAATTTTCAACAGGTTATATGGAAGTAGCTGTGATTAAATCTAAAGTTAGTTACTGTCCCCCTGGGGCGGATCCTTTGGGCGTGGGGAGGAAGCGGAGGCCTGGGGAGTTTTGAGGACCTCGCAAGTAGGGGCTAGCCGCAGCAGAGGCGGTGGAACTACTTCCGGCCTCGCCGCCCTCCTATGCCTCTCCTCGTCTGTCCGTCGCTCGAACCTCGTCCGTCGCGCCAGAACAACCTGCTTCGTCCTCCGAGGAGTCCGTGGTGGTGGCGCTCCTCCGACACCTCGCAGCGGCGACTAGAGGAGGCCGGCCCCTCCTGCCGCTCCCG